TTTTTTTTTTTTTTTTTTTTTAAATAAAGCCCAGGGTGTTGTAGAGGCCAAGGACAAGACCCGCGGCGATTGCTGGTAGCAGCAACCAATGATTGTCCTGACAGGATAGGCCACCTACCCTACCCATCCCGACATTGATACTCCCAGTGCACCCCCTGTCCCTACAGTCCTACCTTAGTGTGACCAGCACTCAGGACCATCACCCTACCGGTACCGAGGGCAACTTGGACCAGACAGCAGTGACAAGCACCAAGGCTGGCCCAACCCCCCAGCCCTAGTGGAAGCGGAAGCGGACGAACCTTGTCGTACGGGAACTTCGGACGCCAGGCTCATGCAATCTTCTACAATCCCAATATCAAAGAGTCTACCCAGCAGAAGTACCTAAGCAATCTTCTACAAGCCCAATATCAAAGAGTCTACCCACGGACACATCCTACCGTCCTTCCCTTAAATTACCCAAGGCTAGGCGGAACTCAGACTAGCCGGAGCGACTTATATCCCTACCCTACGCTAGAGCTAAGTCATGCATGAGTAAACCCCGTTATGTACCTGATAGATTCACCAGCCCGGTATTATAGTTGTGTGCATGTGTGCCTAGAGGCATGATGTATGTATGAGCCCATAGGCTATATGTATATTCACGAGCCATGTTTTTGTGTTTGCCCGAAGGCTATGTATGATCTGTGTAAGTATATAGTGAGATGTATGTGCCCGAAGGCCAGATACGTGCAGTACTATGTAGAGGGAACTATGTGTTCGTTGAAGAGATGAGAGGCCAAGGAGGGCAAGAACCCCCCCAAAGTCCCAAGCCAGACTCGAACCCATGATCTACAACATGTGACTGGTAGAACCTGCGTCAGCCCAAGGGGGTGTGCAAGTGATCATGGGTAATGTAAACGCCAACCGGTGTCTTCTGTGTAGAGGTGCAGAGTTTTGAACTCACAACCTCAGACCACAATGCACATTAACAAATGGTGTGCTAACCATTGAGTTGCAGACCACCCTTGAACCCTTTCCTATCAAAGGTTGTTTTTACCTAGAGCATCTCCAGTTCCTGTCCTCAGCAGTCTCACGCCACCATCTGCTCCCCTTACCTCTATCATCAACTGGGTCTCAAGTCCTTTTGTATGTTCCCTTAGAGTATCTCTAGTTTCCGTCCTCAGTGGATTAACGGCCACCATTTGCTCCCCCACCTCTATCATCAACTAGACCTTACTGTGTTCTCCATCCAGGTAGCAGACCACCCTCACCCCTTGAGACATCCTCTAGCGCAGGTTCCCCAACGATATCCTCCACTGGAGCCTATCCCACCTCTACTCCTACCAACGGGACCCCTAAGACATCTCCTACTACAGGTTCCCCACTGATATCCACCCATGGAGTCTTGTCCTACCTACCCTCCCCCCATCACTCGTAGCTCATGCCCCCCCAAAGCAGAGCCCTAAGGTAACCACACAAGTGGTT